TCTCTCTCTCTCTCTCTCTCTCTCTCTCTCTCTCTCTCTCTCTCTCCCTCCCCCCTTGGTCGAAATCATGAACGTCTCACACACATTCCATCGATAGGATGGGCGAAATCGGAATGAATCTTCTGCTGAAACGGGGAAATATTCACTGCCACTTTTTTATTTGCTCATTCTATCGATCCAAGTAGCGTGCGGCGAGCCATGGGGCTGGAGACTTAGTCTCTCTCTCTCTCTCTCACACACACACACACACACGCACACATTCCATCGATAGGATGAGCAAAAACGGAATGAATCTTCCGCTGAAATGTGGAAATATACACTGCCACTTTTTTTATTTGCTCATTCTATCGATCCAAGTAGCACGTGGCGAGCCGCGGGGCTGGAGACTTGATTGTTGGCCGAGGTTGGAGACTTATAGTCTCTCTCTCTCTCTCTCTCTCTCTCTCTCTCTCTCTCTCTCTCTCTCTCACCCCCACACACACACACACACACACACACGTTCCATCGATAGGATGAGCAAAAACGGAATGAATCTTCCGCTGAAACGTGGAAATATACACTGCCACTTTTTGATTTCCTCATTCTATGGATCCAAGTAGTGTGCGGCGAGCCGTGTGGCTGGAGACTTAGCTGTTGGCCGAGGTTGGAGACTTATAGGCTCTCTCTCTCTCTCTCTCTCTCTCTCTCTCTCTCTCACACACACACACACACACACACACACACATTCCATCGGTAGGATGAGCAAAAAAAGAATGAATCTTCCGCTGAAACGTCTCTGTCTCTCTCTCTCTCTCTCTCTCTCTCTCTCTCTCTCTCACACACACACACACACACACACACACACGCACACACACACATTCCATCGATAGGATGCGCGAAAACGGAATGAATCTTCCGCTGAAACGTGGAAATATACACTACCACTTTTTGATTTGCTCATTCTATGGATCCAAGTAGCGTGTGGCGAGGCGCGGGTTGGAGACTTAGCTGTTGGCCAAGGTTGGAGACTGATCTTTTCTCTCTCTCTCTCTCTCTCTCTCTCTCTCTCTCTCTCTCTCACTCACTCACACACACACACACACACACACACACACATTCCATCGATAGGATGAGCAAAAACGGAATGAATCTTCCGCTGAAACGTGGAAATATACACTGCCACTTTTTGATTTGATCATTCTATCGATCCAAGTAGCGTGCAGCGAGGGGCGGGGTTGGAGACTTAGCTGTTGGCCGAGGTTGGAGGCTTATCGTCTTTCGCTCTCTCTCTCTCTCTCTCTCTCACACACACACACACACACACACACACACACACACACACACACACACACACACACATTCCATCGATAGTGTTATGAACTTGGTTGTTTGACAATTTGATTGCCACTCACACACAGGTAAACTCACACATGCCCATACAGGCATGAGACAAAGGGGAGGAAGAGACGAAGTCCACCTGCACACAGACCAGAGATAAGCAGCGGAAGAGCAATTATGCACAGATGGGGAGAATACACAGTGTTCTCTCTCTCTGATGAACTCCCAACAACCAATCACAGGATGACACTGCGAAGATCACAATTGGAAAGTAACCCAGATGATGAGCCAACTCAACACAGTTAACCTCAATTATCGTTACAGAGTTCAACTCAGTGTCTCGCCACTCCAGAACTACACACTCCACTCACTACCGCACTCTCAGAGTCTAGCGCTGCATCCAAACAGCCTCCCAGAGGCCAGCGCCAAACACCCAGATGTAGGTCATGAACAGCGAAGTATTCTCCAGTGCCGATAAGTCACTTTGACGATGAAGAAGGCAGCTATGGCTGCCTAGCTGCTTCCACAGCAGCAATACCCACAAGTACCCAGTGAAGACCCTCCGATAGTCCAGCCAACCGCAGATATCCCCTGGGGATAGATGCGCTGAGCACAGCCCCAGCTATGGCTGTCTCAGGTAGGCCGGCTATGGCCGTTTCACGCAGCTGATGTCGCAGGTGCCGCTGTAGACATTCAGCGCTCCTCAACTTGGTTGGCCACGAACGCAGACATGCGAAAATGAAAAGCCAAAAGTCCCTACCAGATTTCCCTACTAGACTTATAGACTTCCTACCCTAGCCTAGACCTAGACTGGACTGACTGGACCTACCGGTACCGCTGCTGTCTTGGCCTCTCGGCCTCTACTGGACCCGGCTATAGGCTATAGGACCGTATAGCAGTATAGGCCGCTTAGGGCCTGTCTGTCCTAGGGGTAGCCCGGGCCTGCTATAGGCAGTTAGGGTAGCTGTAGGAGCTCGGTTAGTACCAGGTTTGTATTTTCCAAAAACTACAGATCTGTCGCTCACGAATTTCCAGCTGTAGGAACTCGGTTAGTACCAGGTCTGTATTTTCCAAAAACTGCAGATCTGTCCCTCACGAATTTCCACACAGGCGGATCTCTCGGTTAGCCCTCAGCCAAAAGAAATTGCAAAACTAACCCTACAGGTTAGTATACAGCCTTGCAGACAATCTCGGCAGCAGGAATCAGCAAGTCGTTGCAATAGGATGACCAAAAACGGAATGAATCTTCCGTTGAAACATGGAAATATCTCCTATCGATGAAACTCTCTCTCTCTCTCTCTCTCTCTCTCTCTCTCTCTCTCTCTCTCTCTCTCTCTCTCTCTCTCTCTCTCTCTCTCTCTCTC